TTCCTGCTCCTATGATGCTGCTTGGCCTGCTGTGTTCATCCAGCTCTACACCTTGTTACCACTTATATAATAATGTGTTTCTATTCTTTCTTCCGAAGTGGATAACCTCATTTTCCCACATTTGAAAAATGCTTGCTGTTTCAGTTAATTCACATATATCCCTTTGCAGATTCTTTGTATATTCTTCACAATTTGCCTTCCTACTTCATATAATCACTTAATTAGACTGTAATTCACTGGGCCCCATCAACCAAATCAATGTTGTAGTTTTAAAATCGTCAAAGTCCCAGGACTGAAGCTGACTGCAACTCACTAGTTATAATTTGCCAACCTGTAAACAACCCACTTATCTCAACTAAAAGCAAAGTGCTGGAGAAACTCAGCAGGTCTGGCAGCATGAGTCATATTGCCCTTGATATGTTAACTTTGTTTCTCTCGCCACAAAATCCACTAGACCTGCTGAGTTTCCCCAGAACTGTTTTTATTTCAGATTTCCAGTATGAGCATTTTACTTTTATTTGTTTCAACTGTCTTGGTTTCTGTTAATTTGCCAATTCTCTATCCATGCTCATATATTTCACCCAACACCACCAACTCTTTAGTTGTGGAACAATATTTTACATGGCACCTTACCATACCTATTTGGAAATTCAAATAGCTAGCACCAAAAGTTCATTGCTGCCCAAAATATTTGGGACAGTATTTTTAACATAGAAAGAAAGTGCCAATGTGCATTATAGAGGAATAAATTCAGGAGCTGATGAATACTGAATGACAATTAGACAGACAGAAGAGCTGGCTATAAACTTGCCAAAAGAAATTTCTGGGAAAAAAAAACCATGGAGAAGGCAATTAATGAGAAGTAGCAATGCAGAGATATTTGGTAGGAGAATTCCTTAAGAATTACAAGTTTATCTGAACCTTGCAGAACTGGAAAACTGAAGATTGAAAGAGCACATGATGTTATATGCAAAGATAGGTGAGAATTAAATTCATGTAATCTCCTTCCTCAAGGGCAGTTAGTGTTGAACAGTATAATTGTGAGAGTAAGTGCAGAGTTGAGAGCCCATCATATTTCTGCCTCCTCCCAATTAAATCAAGGGTGGGGACAGTCCAAGGGCACTTAGCACATGGGTGTTCAATGCCATTTCATTGAGTACCCTGTCCCTCATGGAGTACATCTGCCACAGAAACATTTCCCCCTGTACTCCACAGTCCTGCCCAAGCCTCAACTTTTCAGAGGGACTGCGTGGCTAGTCCCAGCCGGCCCTGGCTCCATTCACTTCCCTTTACATGTCTGTTGCCGCAGACCTCCTGCTTCTTGCAGTCCCCATAGTGATGACTACTCTGGGTGGCACTGTTGGGACTGAAGAACTGTCAACCTCCAAATGAGACAGCAGCCTGAGGTTGGATCTTCTCCTTTAAAAGTGTAAAATCCAGGTGGCAAGCACTTGATGACTTGATTAACATTTAATCCTGCGGACCCGAAACGTTAACTCTGTTTTTTCCTTCACAGATGCTGTCAGACTTGCTGAGCTTTTCCAGCAACTTTGCTTTTGTTATTAAAAAGATTTAGATCGACTTCAAATTTTTGCAACACAACTCTAGAATAAATCATAGTAATTAATTCCTACCTATCTCCTGAAGAGTTCTGAAGAGGAGTATTATGGGACTTGAAATGCTAATTCTATTTCTCTTTTCACGGATGCTGCCAGACCTGATGTGTTTTCCATCACTTTTCTTTTTATTTAATATTTCCAGCATTCAGTGTTTTGCTTCAATTGTAGTAAATCATAATACTTACATTTTCACTTTTGATTCTGGCACCCCTCTGCTGGTTTGACATTTTTCAATATCATTTCCAAAATCGATGGGAAGTTGATGGATGCTAAAAGAAACATATATCTTTATTTCTATGTACGAAACTTATTACATTCTCTCCATTTCATTATGCAATGCAGTTTGTAGTCTTTCAAAAGCAAAATTTCCTCATCTCAAAATGGTGATTAATACTGTGACCTGGATGCAAGCAGTCTTCTTACACTTCATTCAAATGCTTTCAACAAGTCTAGATAGTGTGAGCAGAAGTTTTGAACATCAGAGGCATCACAACTGATGACAACTGTGTCCAACCTGATAATATAAACACTATCCATTGTCAATTCACAACAATCATTTGTGGGTACTCAGGGTAGCTGCTAGCTTTCGACAGATAATTAATTCTTGGTCACTAATGGTCACTGACAGTCCATCCCATTTTCGTTTGGGAATGTGAGACAAAGTTTACAATAAATTAAATTTTGTTTGTATTCCCTCCATCCCCACTGCTCAGATCACCGAAGGAATGAATCTTTCTTCAATTCTTCAGTTTTTTGTATCTACTTATGATATGATCATATTTGAGTTGTTCTCCTATTGCTAAAATTACACGCCCCATTAATTTGCTATAACTAAATTTTCACTCTTTCCTTCCCTGCTGAACTAAAAATCCATTGGAAAGTAATCCGAAATGCCCTGTGGAAAAATCTACCCATCTAATGTTACTTACATGATGTTCACCCCAGTGTTTGTTTGGATTATTAAATTTCACGCAATTTAACAGCTGTATTCTTTCTACATATTTCTTGAACTCACTCCTATATCTTTTTTAATTCATTAATTTGGTGTGCTATAATTAACTTGAAGATTTATTATTCATTCTTTAAGTTTGGCATGAAAAAAGGTTCAAAATTTGCACAATCCTCTACGTAAACCTGTCTCTGTCTTTTGCACATATTGTCATCAGCAATATTTAGCTCCAAATCCTGGCTCTGATCTGTTACAGATTTTATTATGCTTCCATACAGCATGATATGCCTCTAGCTCATTAGTTTTGTTCAGAACATTGAGCATTTGTTTATATAAAAATTAGGCCCATTCTACCTATCTGGCAAACTTTATCTCGGAAATTCTCTCTCCTAAAATGCACTTTCTTTGCTACTTTTTTCTTCTACCATGCGTACACTTCATGCTCCATCTGCTCTCCCCTTTGCTTTTTACACTTGTATTTCCCCTTACTTATCATGCCTGATCACAAGACAAGCTGCAGACAAATCCAAGCCAGAACTTGAAAATTTTCCAGTCTGTCTGACTCAGTGTCACACTGTTGTCACAAACTCACCAAGCATTGAAAATAAATAGAATTTTTAATTTTAATGCTCTGCCAGTACATAACTTTAATGGTAGTCATATTTTAGTATATTTTGCATGTTAGGAAGACATGGCTTCAAAATATTGACAGATGCACTCACTTTTGGACAACATATTTTGCATCATGCACTTGATCCAGAGTGTTCTCTAGTCTATTCAATTCCTCCTAAGATGAAAAAAAAACAAAGAAAAGTATTAATGTGAAGGCATTTGAGCTGAAAGAGTTAATTCTAAATTTTCTGCCCAAAACCTTTCTAAGACCATTCCTCATGCGGCAATGCCCAGTTAATAACTCAGATTGAATTAGATATAGGATTCAGTTGTCAATGACATTCATAGATCAAGAGCTATTAACCCATTCAATAATATCCTACACTCTTTCCAATGCAAAACAAGAAGTATGAATTGTGACAATTTCTGTGATGTTAGATTTTGGAGATGTTTACTGAAGTGCAGATCTAGCAGCAGCTGAAAATTCTACATGGATGAGTTTTGTGCTTTGTCCCCAAAGACAAACACAATTTTGACACTGCCGCATATGTTCAAATCTCACATGAATGATGATGGCAGAGTTGCAACGTTAATTTTGCAACCTGTCTGAGAACATTGCTAACATCAACAGATGTTTGGTGACAAGCCACTAATGCTAAACGCCAATTACTAGCCTATCCAGGCAATCTGCTTGCTAGTGGATAGGCAGGTGAATGGCAGGTTGGACATCTACAAAACTGGCAGACACCAATTTCCTCAGCAGCATTCAGTGTCTAACATAGCGTGAGAGAAAAAAACAACTCTTCCAAAAATATATTTTTGAAGTCACGAAATTAAACAAGTTCAAACATCAAATTGAGTTTATTCAGACTGATTTAAAATTGGAAAAGATTTTCATGGTAAGGAAAATATTCCTGAACACATGTTGCTGGTGCTCAGTGTATTAACAATTGAGTTTGTAACAAGGCTCACATACGCAAGCAAGAAACATCATATTCATGTGCAAAACCTGTTCTCTGCAAACAAATAGAATATGACCAAACCTTTTGCCTTTCTTGAGTTAGCAGGAAGCCTGGGGAGTCTACAGAGTCCCACTGCTTTCTCCATGGCAACAGTTTGACCAATGTCAAACTGCCAACCAATCAACATCCTCTTCTCCTGTAGAAGTTTGAAATTTGGCATTATGTTTCTCCAGATGAGTGAAATATGTAACACATCAATGAATCCCTCTTCAGCAGTATTCAAATACTGCACTACTTCTATAAGGAAAAGTGACTAATTCTTAAAATAAAAACAAAAAAATGCTGTTAACAGACAATAGGTCAACTGCCTGTAAAAAGAAACAGACAAAATAGCATTTAGGTGGGGGAATCTGGAGTCAAAATTTAAGGACTTAGTATATTGCCAGAATTTTCTTATTTTATTATGGATTTTAAAAGTCCAATGCTGAATTTATACTAATTCAATTTTAATAGCAATGGGGCCCCAGCGTCTGTACATTCTAGAAACTCCAGAACATGTTTAGTGTCTTGAAAAAAAGACACTAAGAGATGCTGCCATCTGGATGAGTTCAAAGCTTCAGTGACAATGCAGCCATTGCTTTTGTTATTCTAAATATATTCCAGGCCTTGGGTAAGGGAAGTAGATATTCCCAACTGGAAGATGATTGAAAACAAACTGAGCAAGAAAGTAAATAGCGAGGCTGCTAGAAAACAAGCTTTATGAGGCAGTCAGAACTATTAGAAAGACAGTTACAACAACCCCACAAGGGGAGGCGATGGCCTAGTGGTATTATCATTGGACTGTTAATCCAGAGACCCAGATAACATTCTGGGGACCTGAGTTTGAATCCCACCGTGACAGATGGTGGAATTTAAATTCAATAAATAGCTGGAATTAAGAATCTAACAATGACCATGAACCCATTGTTGATTATCAAAAAAAAACATCTGGTTCACTTACTTCCTTTAGGGAAGGAAACTGCCATTCTTACTTGGTCTGGCCTACATGTGACTCCAGACCCACAGCAATGTGGTTGACTCTGAACTGCCCTCTGGGCAATTAGGGATGGGCAATAAATGCTGCCTAAAAGCAGTGTCTTCATCCCATGAATGAATGAAATAAAACCTAAGTGGTATTATTTCAAGGGAGGACTGCAAGAACAGAAGAAACCATATTCATTGGCAAATCGTCAAAAAGTCACAAAGTTTCTAAGGTATTGATCAAGTGTGTAGGATCATTGGCTTTTTAAGTCAGGATATTTTGTATAAAAACCAGGAAGTAATGCCAAATCCTTGTTAAACCTGAGGTGGAATATCATAAACAATTCTGGGCACCATAATTTAAAGGTGGTTAAGTAGGTAAGGAGGAGGATGCCAGGAATGAGAATCTTCCATTATATAGAAAAATTGGAGAAACTGATTTTTCTCCTCATTATGTGGAAGGTTAAGTGGGGACCAGATAAAAGTATTCAAATGAATGGAGGGGCTGGCAAAAAAATAAAGGCAAGTGAAATATTTCATAAAGGTCATAGATTTAAAAGACTTGGAAAAAGACTGGAGAGAAAATAAGAAGAAACTGTGCCAAATTTTCCCAGCCCCTGAACAATGTGAGCACTGAGAATCAGTCGTGGAAAAAAAAATCCGGCGAGATTGGCAGAGATGAGATTCTAGATGGCAACAATCTTAGATCCAATTCTACACAGAGGTTTTGAAAAGGTCCTCACTAATGACTGGCGAGATGCCAATTTGCATGCCATTAGTACCTAACCTTGCCTTATTGATCTGCATTTTCCTACCGTCCCATGTGTCGGAGAGAAACGAGATGGTGACCATTCCCAACATGACAGCTCAATACTTGTTCCTCCAGGACACAGGGTATGACAGTCAGTGAGATAACAGCAGTCTGATGGTGGTTGCTCCCCTTGAAGAGGTCAGAGCTCCTTGAAAACATTTTATCATTGCAAAGCGAAGCAAAATGTATTCTTCGGTTCAATGGCCAAACTTGCTTTTTAAGAATGCCAAGGTGAAATGCAAAAAAAAGTTGCATCAGAGTCTGCTAAAGTATGTTCAAATTTTGGAGTAAACTATTTCAGCTGCATAATGGCATTAGTTCTTCTAAATTATTCAATGTGATTGATGCAGCCAAAAAGGTACTTGGAAATGTTTGTGACCTCCTCCTTGATAGTGTGGGTGTTTCAGGTTTTCCAGACATCTACATGATTTATAGAACAGGGAATCCATATTCGTTCCACTGCTGAATAATGACATTTAGCCTTGTGCTTCTAAATTTGTTATTGCAACACATTTTGCTCACTTAAACCATTTTGATTCTTGGAGTCCAGACCTTATGCATAAAGAAAATGTAAATAAATTTTATAAATGTCATTCCTGAAAGTAGTTGCCTCCTGTTCAGAGCTTTCAGAAATATATCAGAGCTGGTAACACAAATAGACGATTAGATTAAACTCATAAATCAAGGAAATTAAACTGAAGTTGGGCCAAGTATGTATTTATTTACAACACTTGGGTTTGTTGCTATGTAAAAATCTATAGTTTGATTTAATGGTTTTACTAATCTAAGCAGTACATGGACTACATATTCCAACTATCCAAGCTCCTTTTTGATTGCTTACATTACTTAAAATCTCTTCAGTCTCACTCAGCAGAATCTTCCTAGGCTCTGAACAATGTGTGCATTGACGAGAAAGTCTGGAAAACTGGGGGAGATAGCCAGCAAGTTCCTGCCATGCAACTAGACAGTGATAATTCCCAACGTGAAAGTCAGAGCAGTTATTGGGCAACTCTAGCTTGCTGTTTATTCCTCTGGACATTGTTTTGGACACCAGGCACCAACATCCTAGAGCACACTCCATGGGCAGTGACCCTACACAGCCCCTGTCCACAAGTATTGGCACTCAAAACACAGTATCCTAACCAGATCAAAGCATATTTCCAGTCCATCTACAATATACTTCTACACCTTCATGCTGCCCCTCGGAGCATACAGGCAGTTTTCCTTGCAGTGCCAAAGCCAGCCCACCTTGTGCATGGGGACAGACACCCAGATCAGGGATTTAAACATCTCATGGCTTCTTGCTTCATCTCTTAGCACCCACTCACCTTGCACTTGCTTGGATGTTAACAGCATACCTGCCTTGCCTTTTTGCACTTTGCATCTTCAGCCAGACCTTATGTGTTCAAAGCTCTGTGTTTTCAGTGCAAACTAAACAAGGCAGCTCGCACAGTTGTCAGCAGTCGGGGGCATGACATGTTACTGTACACCATCAAGCAATAGCAATCTCACCCCTACACCATGTGCCAGCAGCATACATGGCAAACACACCGCTTGTTCTTCAACCAAATGATCATGTCTCAAAGGCTGAGGGGAGTAGACCACAGTCAACTAAAAGGAATACACTGGGACATTGAGTCCAGGGCAGCCTCCATTACCAGAACGGGGGTCTGTAGTCTACAGTCCACGAAAGGGGCCACAGTCAGACCTGTGGGTTCAGGGCAACCAGTCCATAAAGTCGGCCAGGGAGATGCACAGAGATCGGGTTAGTCAAAGGGTCGGCCGAGGTGCAGTGATCACCAGTGAGCATTGCTGTAGAAGGGAAACTGGGGAGCTCAGTTTTGCAGATTTGAGGCAACATGCTGGGATTCAATGAGGATGCCAAGGCTGGGAGGGAGGGTAGTGGTGCTGGCTACATGTGGCCAACATATCCATGGAAACAGGCAGATGTTCACATGCCTGGGACAGCACAGTGCCAGTAGCATTACTGCCATCCTGCAAACTTCATCAGTTTCTGACAAACTTTCCTGCTGCTCCTATATCAATTTCATGTGTACGAAGCTATGAATGGCTAATGTCAAGGGGTCCTCTAGCCAGGGATGAGTGCCAGCAACCTGGGCTATTTCTGCTTTGACCAACTGCAGAGATGTGGCAGCAATGTGCTCACCAGCAGATACTCCTGATTTTAATCCAGCCAACATACCCACTGGAGGTGTCAGGATCAACTGGAGGTGAGTAACGGAGGCAGCCTTACTGGTGCATCCTCTGAGGGACTCCCTCAGCATGGGAGGAGGAAAGGTCTTCAGGCTGCCCTCTTGGCCACCCAGAATGTGCAGACGCCATTGTACCTTCAGGTGGCAGAGGCAAAAATGCATCGCAAAC